CTGACAATCCTGTGATCTAGGTACAAGAGGATGCAAGCCCTGCATCTTGCCACCACCACCTCTGGTGATGGCCCCCGATGGTAACAGAATCTCCTGATTCGTGGCCACAATCGCCTATGCGCAATATAATTTGCCCCAGAAAGTCGAAAATCGACTCTTTTCACACAACAGTGGATGATACGACATCCTCGAACGATTTTTCGTATCCCGAGCACTCAGGGTAATCGCTTACATGCTCAAGTTCATAGAGCGACTCAAAATTAAACTTAAGGAGTAACTTCATTACACTCCCAATGCGATACAGTGACGCACCTAGACTTACAAAAGCAAAGGTCGCTCTTATCGCCTACGCAAGCGCGCTACTTCAGCCGCGATATATCACTTTGAGAGAATCAAACCTATTGACACGAGAAGTCCCCTCTTAGTTCTAAACCCATTCCTCGACACGAAGGTCTTCTTCGTTGAATGGTCGGCTTGCCAATTCAAGCCTAACGTATAACGAACGCCATCCATAATTGTTCCAGAAAGTCTCGACTTGCCACACTACTCATCAATTCTATCACAATCTCTCTTTTGCTAAAGGTGAGTGAAGTGAAAATTAATTTATTAATTAAATAAACAGTACGTTATTTTGATTTTTATTTTTTATATTTTGAGATTAATCATTTTTTTTTATTAAGATATGAAATGGCTTGCTAGAAAATTTTTTTTTAAATAAGTATGTAGGTATATTTATAAAATAAAGCTTACTTCAAAGCTACTCAAACTGAGCACAGTGGCTTTTAATTAAACCGAGTTGATGGATGCACCGCTTCTAATTCAGCCTTGAACTGGTTAACCCTTCAATGTTGGCCAGCAATGGTTAGAGGCATCACTTTTAGACTTCTTACATAGTCAACTGTTTTGATTTTCTATTGATAATACTACAGCATAGAACTTAAATGAGTTCAATTAATAATTATACATGAGTAGTGGAGAGTTAAACACCCTCCAAACACCCCAAAATCAAAGCAGTTTATTAAAATTGCCTGCGAAATATCTTTGCATATGTAGATGTAATCTGCGTAACGGGTTTCGTATTGAGTGCAAATATTTTATTACATTACTCGACTCATTCAACGTAACTGTTAAAATATTATTCGCAGACTCGTTTATTCGTATGCCTATGAATGAATATCATACTCATTTTCATATATTTATTCATTATAGTTCCTCTTGTTGTTATTATTATTGTCGCCCATGCGGCATATTATGATGAAATTTCATTTACTTTAATATCGCTGAATATTTATTGTTGTGTTGTTTGCCGTGATTTATCACATTATCCCATTATTATACTCGTATGATGAACAAAATTCGAAAACAACACACAAACACACACACACACAGAAAGAGCTAATGTGTGAAAGTTCATTTCAGTGTTTGCGCCTAATGAACAGAGGTCTACAATAGGCGAGATGCCGTACGACATACAGGTTCAAGCGAACTAAATATAAAATAAAGTTCATATAATATACTTCATGTACGTATGTATGTATATATATAAGTAGATATACAAGGTGTTTCTGTTTTTATGACATATGTTATGTATGTTTTGAATGTCAAAATTATATCTCCTCGAAGAACACTTCAATAATTTTGCGAATTATTGAAATTTTGTTTTTTAACGAAAATCTTCGACAAATTGAATCTGCTGACAAAACACATTTCCAATTCGACGTACTTCTAACAAGTAAGTTTTCCAAATCATAGGATTAGAGAACTTACAAATGATCAAAGAGAACACAACACATGCTCAGAAAGTGAAGAACATTTAATGAGGAAGAACTCTTGACTCACTTTTATTTAAAGATTCTGTTAAAATTTACGAATGCATTAATTTTAAGCCCAAGAGAGACATACCAAGTTTAAAATGTGCGAACTAATATTCAAGAATTGAACCTAAAAGAACTTTGATTTTAATAGAATGGATCAACATGCTATACGAGTATGTTCTGTACGTGTATGATGAAGGTCCACTTCAGCAAAAACTTAAACTTAGTCTTGCCATATAATTGCGGTGATAAGCTTTACTTAATTGTGGAAAAAGAGCAAGTAAATTTTGTGAGCTTCTCAAAAACTGAAAGTTTCGAGAATGTTTGTTTACAGCAGTATTACTCAAACGTCTTCAGTTCATGACAGAAAGAGGATTGGTCGACCTCGCATGGTTCGAACCAATTCAGCCATGAAAACTATTCGCATTCGCTAAAATCCCCTTAGAAGACAGCAAGTTATGTCAAACACAATCCAAATATCGCCCAGATTAATATCAAGATTTATTTGTGATGATCTCTAAACATCTTCGGTTTAAGCTAATTAGGCTCAACAGATGCAAGCGACTTCTTCAGTGGCACGCAGTCAACGACCATTAAGGTATTCTTTTAACAGATGAAAAAATGTTAACTGTTGAAGGTTTTAATAAGTAAAACGACAAAATCCACGCAAAATTTCCAAAAATGCAGGAAATGCTATTCCAAATATTCAACGTGATGAGCACACAGCTACTGCAATGGTTTGGTGGAAAGTCTCCTGCGAGATGTACCTCTTGAAAATGGGTTTAAAAAAGTGACAAAATGAATCAGCAGAACGGTACATGGAGAGCAAGATTCTGTTGCAGGACACAAAGCAAAAACCACCCATCAATAGCTTAAAAGCAATGTTTCTGGTTTCATAGCTACATATTATTGTCCGTCTGGAAGTCCATATTTGTATTCATTTTATAACAGTGCCTGGACAGAGTTGGAGAATACTCCACAGAAATTTGAAGAATCTCAAAAACCTTCGTCGTCAATACCAATAGAAGTAGTGCGTGCTGCTTTTGATCAATGGCCGAATCATTTAAGGGCTTCCGTGAAAGCACATAGTCCCATTTCGAATAAAATTTTGTATATGACTCATTTAATATATGTTTTATTTGATAAGAAAAATGTATTAAAAATTAAATTATCGTTTCATTTTTATAACGTCCTCAACTTGTAACAGAACTTATGGCAGAGCTCAGTATTTCTGGTTTAATGGGTACCACTAGTAGCATATTTAGATGTGAACAATAAAGAAAAAATTTTTCAGATTCTCGTGTCTCCAAAAAAAGTATAGCATTATTGACCCCCTCTTAATTAAAACTGAAGTTAGAACTAGCGATGTTCATTAGGATATTTTGAAATAATAAAATTTTTGTTGTACATTTTATTTAAATCTATTAAAATGAACTTATTATCCCCCATATGAACCACCCTGTATATACAATATATTTCATATAATATAATATGCAAAAATGTTTTTATAAGCAGAGACACACTCACACTTAAACAACACTTCGTTGTATGAGTGCAGTCAATTGATTATGCGACATTCATACCCAAAAATATACACACATGCTAATGTATGTATGCATAAATTTATTTATTTACCTACCAGCACTTACGTGTGTGTATATGTATATATATTTGCGCACTATTATTATAATTTTTTTTGTGTAAAAGCAGCAAACTGTAGGCAATTGAATACAATTATTTATATATGTATTTGTCATATTGCATATTATTTGCAACATTGCCTCACACACCCACACAGACAAACACCCAATCACACACTGTATAATGTATGTAGTAATATGTATGCATGATTATAAATGCTTTATTTAATAAACAATTACGTGTGAGCAGCAACATTTCATCGAAATAACAACAATATTTGTTTAATGGATTTTTGAAAATTTCCACATTTTCATTTTGTGAGGAGCATTTACGAAATTATTTATGCATAGTATTTGCCAATATCATACTTAAATGCATATATAGCTTTATATATGTATATATATATATATATATAATTTGTTAGTTAATACTAGTACACTCAAATGACAGACGCATAGGAAAACTAATACATACATATATAGTAAACCATAACTAAATAGCCTATTTGAAGTGCTGAAATATTTATTTAGCTGTCGGCAATGCATTTTAATTTTATACTTTTCAATTAGAATTTTCCATGAGTATATAAATTACGCAGTTGTGGTGAGGTGACGCATTTTAGGAAATGCAATGTCTCTATTTACCATATTGAGAGGACTAGCAATTTGCGGAGTAATACTTGCATAAATAAATATGAGTATTATTATATGAGAACCAAAAATCGATGCTTATAAAGAATATATATGCATATTAGAGTATGTAAATTTTAGGAAGAATTTTTAACTTCCCGCTAAGAAAATTGAAAATTTTCTAAAAATCGGGAAGATATTGGTTCCACCCCATTTTGCAAAAATCGAGTTCTCAACAGATCTCGACGTTTTGAGGGTCGAGGAAGCTTCCCCAAACATTTCTACGATGATGTCCGTATGTCTGTATGTATGTGTGTGTGTGTGGATGTATGTGACCCTCTTATAACTTTTAAACGGCTCAACCGATTTGAATAAACTAAACGGCATTCCAAAGGGTCTCATTGCACTTGAATTTCGTGTGAGTTTGGACCTAATCGGACCAGTAGATTTTGAGAAATCTCAAATATAAAAATTTTGAAAAATCGTTTTTTTCGAATTTCTTCCAAACGACTTGACCGATCGACACCAAAAACTAATCAGTTCTAAACCTTGAAAAAACACATCGTTTGCCGCAATCGGTTGATTTACTTGCGAGATATTGAAAACGAAAAATTTCGAAGAGCTCAAAAGCAGTGAAAAAAGCGAAATTTGAACGTTAGCGTATGAAATTAGAGGGAAGTTGCAGGGATGGCCCTTGAGGCCAACCGTTTTCCACATTTTTTTTTTTAGCGAAATACAGGCTAAAAACTATAAAGTAGACAAAATAGAAGACTGAAAATTTCAGTTCTTAACATTAGTATTAAGTATTATTATACAAGTATTATATTTAAAAAAAAAAACTATCTGAAAAAAAAATATTTTTTTTTAATTTTAGGCTTGACTGCAGTAAAAACCTTCAAAAAGATAAAAAAGAAGACTTTAATATTTGGAGTTCTTAATATTTGTATTAAGACGTTTCATATTATTCATTTTCAAAAAAAAATTTCTAAAAAAAAAAAAATTCTGAAAAACAAAATGCTCACTCAAGAAAGGACGAAAAGCCTTTGACAACTCATTTCTTCGATAAAATACCAATGAATCGATACCTGACCTCATAAGTGTGAGAATGTAGATAATTGTATTATCAAGAACCTCTTCGGTAGACATAAATCATTCAATTCAGAGCAACTTCAGACTTCGCATAAATTTTTGAAAATGTTCAAAGCAAATTGTCAGTATGCCTCCAGGTAAGAACAATAAACAGGATAAAATGGGTCAGCCTTTTTTGCCTTTCATAACTGACTGCTCCTTATACAGCAGTATTTACATAATATTATTTTATCCTTCCTGTTTGAACTCTAGAAAGGTTCTCGAGAGATTAACTTTCCGAATAAAGGGTATGCTATATTGATTAACTTAACCTTGGTGGTTGTGTTCAGTTGGTGTTTCATCCAAAGTTACAAATTGGAGTATAAAGAAATTTCTGTCGAAGAATTATAAATTTTACTTTGTAGAGATTGATCTTACAGGAATACGATACAAGTTTCTAAAGCTTAAATCAAAAATTCTCTCCTCATGACACACCGCCGATTAATAGTGCGCGAGATAGCTATGTCAGTAAGTAACTGGAAAGACCGCGTGGGACACACCTTGTGTGAAATATTGGGCCATTGTGCCTGTAAAAAAGCTGACAGAGCGGTGGTTGCTGCGTTTCTTCACTTTCGATCACTAGCGCAATCCTGAGATCGCTTCACCTCAGTGTGTGGCGCTGTTTAGGCTACATTTAGTCACCGTCAACAAAACATGGAGCCACTGCTCCCACTAGAGATCAAGAAATGGTCGAAATAGGAATCCTCATCCGGTGAACCTGCTCCGAGGAAGGTGAAGACTGTCCTCTTGGCCGAAAGGGTGATGATCACCGTTTTTTGAGATGCACAAAATGTAATACTTGTATATATTGGTTGACTACGTGGAGAATGGAAAACAGGCACAAGGCGCTACTGTACTGAAATATTGGGCCGATTTAGCCTCGAACTGCTGAAAAAAACCTCTTTGGCGAGACAAAGTATATTCTTCAACCATGACAATGTAACGGTTTATTTTCTCGTAGTCGCCATGGCCAAAATGTTCAAATGAGGCAGCGAACTGCTGTCCCAAACAGCGTATTATAAAGTTTCGCTCCGACGCGACTTCACACAGTGGTTCCAAACTAATAAATTGATATTCAGGTTAGGATTTTCGGAAGTACAGAACTTGTATAGCTCCTCAGTTAGTAGGAAGAAAAAAAAATTTATTGAAAATAGTTAACTTCATAAAATTTCCAACCACTTCTGTTGAGTTTAAGGTTGATCATGTTTATTGAGAGAAAAAATAAATATAAAGTTAAATCTAGGACTATTCCTAACGTCATTTAAATGAATGTTCTGTTATGAAATAACAGAAGTATTTCCAACTACAGTTATCTAACATAAAACACATCTTAAAGCAAACACGTAGTAAATAGTCAACGGTTTGCGAGTTCAGAGCGGTCACAACCGGAAGGCAATTGCGCCATTTTCCATTCATTACAAATTATATTATATTGTGAATTCACTATGCAACTAAATTAAATTTAACTAAATAAATGATGATTGTTGTAATAAATTTAAATTGAAGCGCACCGTGAAATTCAACGATGAAAGGCTATGAAATTGACAATAAGCAACAGTATCATAGCAGCAACAAATGAGAGTGGCGGTCGAGTAACGGATGTTGCAAAAGACTTCAAAGCGAGTGAGCTGATAAAAGGCTAAATAAAATTATGCAAAAAATAGATTGAATGTAATATTATTTTGGAAAAATTTAATAATTTAAAACACAAATTAATGTTGTATTTAAATTAAGTGTTGCCTGGAGTGAATCTTCGACAATGAGAGAGAGAGAATAAAGTAAAAGGAAGACATATTTTGAAGCAGCGATTTTTAAGTGAAAATTTGTATATAAATTTTACGTAAAGCAAACAAAAGGAGTCTTTAAAAAAATAAATTTTTTAAAACTATAAAATAAGTGCAATACAAAAATTGTTTTGGCAAAAAAAAAAAACAAACCGATACAAAAATTTAAAAATAAAAAAATAATCTATAACATTAAATGAGTAAAAATTCGAACAACGAATCGATATATAGTGATTATTTAAACTTTCCTAAACTATAAAAATTGCTATAGACTGAAACAATAAGTTAAGTCAGAAAAACGGTTCTATCCACAAAACAAATATACCGCACCCAAAAAAATAACCAAAACACAAAAATAAAAATGTTTGCTCAACTGTCTCAAAGCGCCGGTGGAACCACAACCTGCATATTGTTCCACCTACTACTGACGCTATTTCCTCAAGCGTTGCATTGTCGACCCGGCAGCGGCTATACCACAGACGGCACCGAACTGATTGTTGTGAAAGAAATTGTGCGCTGCACGCGTCAGGGACTCCACGAGTTATGTCAGAACAGCACAGCAACAACAAATGACAACGAACAACGTCCAACTAATGTGGCTAATGAGTCAGTGATGGACGCGTTGGATGATTTAATACTGCTAGAGGAGAAACCAAAACAATCAGATTATCAACAACAGCAGCGCAAATCTAATCATCCCTACGATACATATCAACAACAAAGCGAACTGCTATCCTCAGCTGCTGCGCGTGAAGATTCAATAGTCTCCGCTGCCGCAGCTGCACCCGCCATAGGTGATCCGTCCGATTCCACAGCGTTGGGTAGTTCCTACCAACAGGAGCCGTTTAGTTCGGACAGTGATAGCGATGCGGCGGGTGATGTGGGACACGCGCCTGATATCAAAACTACCGATGTAGATGCCGTTAATGCGGCAGCAGCTGATGAAATTATTGCCGACGGCGTGCTCTTTCACGGTGTGCTGCTGCGTCTGGCAGATGGGCCGCACACCGTGCCACAACCAGTGCCGCCGATTGATATGAGTGATTTCGTTTCGTTAATACCGACCGAAGAGGTCAAATCGATTGCCACCAATTATTATAATAACGATGCGGAAGTGCGTCGCGCCTACGCCTATCTGAGCGGACCCGACTTTATTGCGCTGCGTCAGCATATTGTTGCGTCACCGGAAGTGGGTGCCTTTTTGCAATATCTAAATGTGAGCGGCTTTGATGTGTTGAAATTTATCTCGGCCGTTACGAATTTAACTAAGGTGGAGGTGAATGCGCGCAGCGTGGAGGACTCGGCTGCGCTCGATTTTCGAAGCAGTGAGTTGGAACAGCAGCGCCAACTGACGGCTAAGCAAAACAATGCAGCGGTGCTAGTGGTGAATGGTGAGTGTGGGAATTATTATTATTTTTTTTTGGTATGGTTTAGTAAAATCACCAAATAGACAGAAGGAAGGAAATTATGTTAAATGTCTGCGTAAAATTTTAAAACAAAACTTTCTATCCAGCTCACGTGAGCTCTTTGGCAGTCTGGTCAAAACTAAGTTATCAGCTACACGCTAACCGCCTAAAAGCAGACATCACGTGCGGGCCACTGTCGCTTTCATAGCTTCTACATATTCAATTATGAGCTTTAAATGTTCGCAAACATAATTTTCATAACCTTCCAAAGGTATATCACGTAGATTAACTGTCTAAAAATAATATGAGTTCACAAAAGTCCTTGTCCGTCTTTCTGACATTCAGCGCAATACGATAACCGCGCGTCTGTACTCATTTCAATGATTTTATTTGAATTGTTTTATTGTTTTCAATGTCATGGTTCATGTACTCAGCTCACATTGTGCCAGAATGCATATATACGGGTCTGCGTCTGACTGCAGTTACAGTACTTATATAATTGCGCGTACATGCATTCGCTTCACTCGTTCGAGTGGATTTCTGTCTGCAGCGCGCACAACAATGCATGCAGCCACTATGTGTGCCCATGGCACTGTAATGTGATCCGGTCATGACCTGAATTATTTTAGCGCAAAACGCGTACGAGCGTACACTTGATAAAATATCCAGACGGGCAGGACTATTATTGCGCCTACCAATCACTATGTACACATGTATTTGCTATTGTAATTTTAGAGCACTTGTGCGTGCCAATATATAGTTGTTTTAAACTATAATCCCTCTATATATACTTTTAAACAAATTGAGTGCACCGAAGCGGATATCTTTCTCTTGAAGTTCCTTAAGTAAGATACCCCACACACCACATTTAATTTAGAGAGCTTAATAAATGTTTCCATTTTTTAGAAGAGTAGAGCGCTTAGAAAGACTTGGGTTTGTAATTCATTATTTTTTCAAAGTTAAACTCAGTGTACTAGAACGTTTTAGTGAACGATTCATTTAAAGCCATCAATTTATTGAAGAAGTAATAAAAATTTTGAGCTGCATAAACTAGTTTTGCATATTCTCCATATTACCTTAGCTGAAGGCTTTGAGAATAAGCAGAGAAAAAAAAGAATCATAAATATACCATAGATTATACATACGAGTACTTATGCTGCGAAGCTTTGATAAAGGACCTGATAAACCCAATCATTTTATGTCTCTATAGATTTCTATCTAAACTTTTGTTACAAATATTGGTATAGGCGATAACAAAGAAAGTTTTTCTATATTGAGAAGGGTTGGTAAAGTATTCTGAAATTTCCAACTAAAACTCCGCCATAAGCTTAAATGATATGCAGAAACTGCTTGACAATAAAATGAGCATTTCACCTGCGTTTTCCGTTATTCAGCATCTCGGGCATTTATACGTAGCAATGATTTCTGAATAATGTTTGACTTGAGATCCTCTATAGTCCAGAAATTACTGGCGTGCGCTTTTCTTTCCAAATATGTTAGCTCTACGAAAGAAAGTCAGTGGGATTTAAATCTGAAGGTCAGGGTGAACAGTCAATGCCCCCAAGCATCAGACATCAGGCGCCCAATAATAGTTTTACCATATTACAGATGACACGGATGATCGTTCGGCAATTTTATTTGGATTATTTGAACTTTATAAAGAGAAAAATTCAAATATTTTGAATCCAGCGGGCCACTGTCCCACCATGATAAGCACGAAGACCATACAGCCCCTCTATGACTTCAATGTGTCTTTAGTCAGTTCATTCGAGCTTCTTACAGGTTGATGGACTGTCTTTCGGTTCTCTTTTGAACAAAATTCGATATCAAGTGACGACTAATGCTATCTGACGATGTATATTGTCAACGATTTTTTCTATATTTCACTATTTTGGCGCAATAATGGTCGCAATTGTGATTCCCAAAACAAATTTAAATACATTAAACTCTAGTTCTAATTTACTATATTGTAAATTTTCATTTCTGCAAAGAAAGCCTCGATGTGCTAGGAGTATGAAACTATGAAAATAGTTAAAGTATTTTATTTTCGTATAAAGAAAATCAGTTTCATGTCTGATTTACAACCAGCTCTCAGTGAGACTATCAAAATTCTCACTGAATTCGCACAAATTCAACAAAGGTGATATAATATAATATCTTCAATGGAGGATGATATTGCAAAGTAATAGTTGCAGACCTATTTATAGTATGAGCAATAGAATTTCCCTCATTACTTTTCAGAGTCCATTCTAAGAGAACAATATATAAAAAAGTATACCAACAAAATTTTGGACCCTAAACAAGTAGAATGTTTGCTTCAAAATGATAAAGCAGTAACTCGATTTACACCATATTGCTTCAAAGAACTATTTAAGATCTTCTTTGCGTAAAAATGAACTCAGTATGAGTCCAGTGATTTCGCTCAGATTGAGGAGAAATGGGTTCCTGCTCGAAAATTAGAATTACAAAGTTGCCGTGATAATATTTTAATATTAATATTTTTTTGGCATATTAGCAATATTTTTTGAATTAGTCAACTACCAAAAATATAGGTTTATCGTTTTAAATTGGTAGTTTGGCTAGTTCTTTTTCTCTTGTTCATCTCTTTGTTCGCCCCTTTTAGCATAAAAAGAATGGAGCCATTATAATTTATTCTGATTAAATCTAGTATTCGACAGAATTTACATAAACGAGAAAGCTTCTTCTTATGGTAGTTATACTTGAACAATTATAAGACTCAGCAAGCGATCCCGACAAATATTGCTCTCATCCAGAATTATTTTTGTTTATATTCCAGAAATCTCTCGAATGGAACAACATGCATCAGCATCCACAACATTTCCCGCAATCATCTTTGAAGAGGTAATATCAATCACTTCAACGAAAGCACCTGCCGCATTTTCAAATTTCGATGAGCCCATAACCCAGAAAGCTGAACAGCTCAACGGTTTGCATGGTCTGGTCGATAATATTTTGGAAATCCTGCCACAGGATCAAATACTAGCAACCTTCTTTGATAAGCTCGAATCGGATGATAATTTTAGAAAGTTTGTGAATAATATACAACGACCGGCCTTCGCGCAGATACTCAGCAGATTGGAGGTAAGTTTGGTGTATGATAGGAAAAGAAGAATTTTTTGTAGAAACTTAAAATAATTGGTCTAAATTTTTATTGGCGTTGACGCTTTCATTTATACTCTTCCTATTACGTGAAGCGTAACCAACTTTTCTTGTACGGCTGGCATTTTATCACACCTTTCATCGGCCTGAATGCTTTAGGTCAGCCTTTTTGTTTTATTTTTCACTCAAAATTGTTTTGAATTGTTCGGTGCGCGCACGTCCCCAAGAAATTTAAACAATATTGTATTTTGCTTTGTCGCTCAAAACACGCCTTCAACGATACACACACACAGTTACAATACTTGGTAATAATTTGACGGCGAAACGTGATCAAAATATTTATTGCGTGAATTTTTTTCTCGCTCCTCATGGCTCGTTTTTCACCTTTTCCACAACTTTCGTGTACAAAGTCTTTTATTTTTATTTCCTTACATTTCTAACGAATTTCTGTATATTCGCTTAATATTCTCTGCCGTTTTTATTGTGCTTGAATTCCAGCTCCTTACCCGCGGGCGTTCGTCACTTGTATAGGTTTACAAATCAGCTTCCGTTTCGGTTGTTTGTCTGGCGGTTTCCGTTGTGGATATTCGTCCTTTCGCGGGCTCCTTTAAAACACTTCTGTGTAGAAACGCACCTTTTCATTATACCTACTATGTTGTTCAGCAGCTTTTTTGGCATTTTAAAGTGAATTGGAATTTTTCTAATTGGCAATTGAGCTGGAAACGTGACCAAAATATTTTATAGTTGTTAATATCAATATTGTGAATATGAAACGTGAATATTATGCATTTGGGCATCATACGACTTTGCATATATGCTTCCGTTATATTTCTACTATTACCGTTTTCGTATTAAAACAGCCGTGAATTTGTTAAAATTGCTTTATTAAGTTGTTGGTCGAAATGATTTGGCTTAATATTGGTATTAATATAGCATATGGTGTTATATAATTAATATTAGGGTGGCGCGAAAAAAAATTTTTTTTTTGCCTAGCCTGATTGTAAAATCTGTAGATTATAAAAAAAGAAAGTTTTTGGACAAAAAATAAAACTTTTTTTAACACCTAGCGGGTACTCAGTTTTAAAGTAAATTTCGAGTAAAAAAATTTTTTTTGGCAAGAAAAATTATTTTTGGTTTAAACTCTTTACATTTATACAATATAAAAATTACCGAATGTGACGATTTTTGATTTAAAATTTGTTTTAACGCTTAAGGAAAGCATGTTGTCGTTTAAGACTTTTTTAAAATCTCGAATAATGACCAAACAATTTTTTTTTAAGTTGAAAACTTTTCATTGGCCAGGAAGAGGACTCCCCACAGCTTCTAGAACAGTTATCAAAATATGTTTACGAAATAAAAACTTTAACTCGAAATATGCTTTAAAACTGAGATGTTAAAAACAATTTTTTTTTGTCCAAAATTTTTCTTTTTTTATAATCTACAAATTTTACCCTCAGGCTAAGCAAAACAAAAAAAAAATTTTTCGCTCCACTCTATTATATATATAATTTCCACTTGGTTTTCATTTACATGTTTTTCCTTAAGTATTGAAATAACACAAAGCTCTGTCGTTTTTTACCGAAGGTGAAACCGTTATTACATAAAAACTTTTTCTCATATTTTAAAGAATTTTATTTCATTAACACCCATTGATCTCCTACGGTATTGATCATAAAGCATTATGCACTTTTGGTGCTAAAATCCACACTAGTAACACTAAATGGACTCCAAACGAGTTAAATACTTAGAAGATCAGAGGTTGGTGACTCTAACAACATAGTGTCTCGGCGCCAAAATAAATCATTATTGATTGATATTTTATATATTTGGCCCGTTGGCATTCCTCCCAAGGTCATAAATAATCTGAATTTAAATTTATTTAATCAATATGCAAATCAGCCTGGGTTCCGACTTTAAATGTTACACAAAAAAAACTGCACTCCGTACGATAACAGGATGCCTCTTGATATCTCTCGTTGAACACCGACGTAGTGACGTCTACATGCTTCCGGTTAATACAATGCAATCCTTTTCAAAGAGTTTCTACTAGCATGCTTTCGTAGAAAACAGCCTTGCTGTCAGCTGCTTCGAGCGGAACCGAAGCAGTTTTTTTCTTGGGCCTCCCGGCTCTAGATAACCGCTACGACAACTAAAACTACAACAGTCCCGGTAATTTTATTTTGATGCAGCTGTAGATATGGAAATAACATGTTTCTCTCAAAAAAAAAAAACAAAATTATGTTTTGGAAGTCCTAATTATTTAGTGGAGAATCTGAGTTTTTGTATCTTTTCAAATGAAATTCCAGATAGAAAAAAGTTTTTAAGAGCACAAATATATAGTATATAATCTTTTATTTTAACACACTCCATATACATATAATCTATATAATAATATATATATAAGCCTCTACTAATATTTAATGTTCTACACAGTGGACCAGTGGACTGAGGTTTAAGAAAACCTTGAATATTTTAAAAGTATGTTTTAATTCTGAAATCCAAATTTTTCTAATTTTCTTCCAGCAATCGATGTCATTGAGAAATTTGATTTTCACTCTACACAACAACGGTATCTACATAACGCGTATTGTGGACTCGCTTAAGGCGTATTTCTTTCTCGGAGGCTTCTCTTAGTACAACCCGCCCAGTAGTCCGAAAGTAAGCATTAAAGAACACACATATACTAATGCTGGGTGGAGAGAACGCTTAGGTGCTAAATTAGGAGAAGGAGAGAGAGGAGACTGGTCGGGATAACGGAGTTGGACACGAAGTGGAATTAAATGCTTTTGACAAAACATGGTGGAAACAATGAAAGGGATTGCAGTAGAATGCATAAAAGCAAAAGAACAAAATTACACATAAAGAACTGGAGAGAATGCTGTATAATATGATATAATAAAATCTTTTGTTGTTTACTAATACTCTCCTATACAACCTCATTATTTATTTAACTCGTTTTATTGCCTTACAAACATTTCAGACATGCAGGTTAAAGCCAAATAAACAGCACCTAGAAATGCCAAAAAATCATAACAACAATTTGTACAGGTATTATGTTATTTAGAAATGAATAAGCTTATGAAAGAGTGTGTAACAGGGTTGCAATAAGGGCAAATAATAACCGAGAAAATTAAGCGGATGCCTTTTTGGTGTCCCTCGCCAATCAAATCCAACAAACAAAAGTGAATTTTTGCAAACGAACCATAACCATCCGAAAGAAGGAATGGAGGAAAAAGAGTGATAAAACGATTGGTAAAATATTAACAAGATGAACAAAGTCGTGTGCGTTTAAGCTGCCTACTCAGCGGTATTGTTGTTTCTTTTTTTTTTGCCTTTTGTAATAATTCTTTTCGTCTGATTACACTTTTATGGCAGTCAAATTAGGAAAAGTAGCTAATATTTGCCGTTTTTTGTTTTATTATCTGGTCAGTGATTGCGGATGGTTTAACTGGGAGCATTTTGGCAAATTGGCTTCTCAATTTGGATATTTATGTTTAAATGCGCCAAGGCTCATGGGATGTTCCATTTCGGGATGTTCATAAATTTATAATGAGGAAAATAGCAAATATTGATTTAGCTTTAAGTATAAAACAAAATATTTTCCGAAATATATTTCAATATTTTATAACCAAAAAAAATATTGCAAGGATTTGTATTCTATCTCAAAATGTTGAATTTGCATGATTATCGATTAAAAAGGCACTTGATATACTAGTAACAAACTTTAGGGTATCTTGCGCTCTACAAGTACGACCGCTTGGGTGAACATATGGTTGCAATCAGTCCATACCTAACATATACTGAATACAGGGATCTGGTCTGGGTCTGGTTTATTTTGTACAATAAACTGGTGTATTATCTTGAAGAAATAATATTGACATTTATTTTTAAGGACAATAATTAAGTACCAGAACCCCTTTTAATCTTTTCACATTTTCTTGACCCCAATTCCTTAATAAACAGATGTATGACCTTAACTTTGATTTTTAATATTTTAAATTAGCATTAGTCTTTTAAGGTATTCATAGACTTGCCTATGATAATACCATAATAAATACCATAGGGTTAAACAGGCATATCACATCGCCAAACGTGAACTAGGCCCACAGTTGTAGGAGTAAGGAATATTTTATTATTTGTGAAGGGTATTATAGCTTCGGTGTGTAACGAAGTAAACGGGTTTGCATAGACCTAAGTTTGGGGGAAGTTGTTCTGTAGACTATATTTGGTCCAAATGATGACATTTGCGCAACTAAGTTGTTTTGGTTTAGATTAGGTGGCAGTGAGACGTTTGCCGAAAAAATGTAAAATGGTAAAGTGTGAAAGTGTGAGCTAGTGGCCGTTAATGGTAGAGAAAAATTATAATTGTAGATTTCTGATATCGTATAATAAGGAAGATAAAATATATGCATTAATGATGGAGATCAGACTTGCTTCGCAAAGTAAACTATGACTTTGTTGCTTCAATATATAGGTCTTTATAAAGATCAAGTGTTCTATGTCAATATATGTAGTTATTTCCCAAAATCATAAGTGAGAAATGATGGCCAGTTAAATTTAACCCTTGTTGGTGACTCAAATTTATTGTATGAGATGTTATGTTATTTTTCCACAACTCAACTCTGGTGTCTTCTAAGTACAAATTTTTATTACTTACTTGAATATGCTAACATATTTCTAGGAGAGTGAAATTCAACTTCACTCTTTTCATATTATATTAACATCTAAAGTATATCAATTTTCTTTTTTCAAGTAAAGGTTGTTTGTAAATGTTTAATCTCTTGAAGAGGCGTGGTTGTCAACCGATTTCACCCATTTTCAAAGTGTATGGTAGGAGCAAACATCGGCACCTTGTCCATTTTTTACATCTGCTAGTAAAAAATAGTGACACTTTATAAGTTTTCGTTTAATGGAGTTTTGTGAGCGTTGCAGTGGTCCGATTAGGCCCAAGAACCATTGAAGGAACATATCTCAGTTTTTACTCAAATTATTGCTTGCGCGGACGAACGAATAGACGGATAGACAGACATGCGGATCTCAACTCGTCTCATCATTCTGATCACTTATATAGGTATATATAACTCTATATCTATTTCGATTAGTTTTAGGTGATACAAAAAATCGTTAACAAGTTGCGGGGGTATAGAAATGGGCGTGGTATAGATTTTAAAAGTCATTTCCCACATTACACCCAATTTTGTCAGCACTGAGGCTGGCGATTAGGCGATAATTCCTGATAGAATATTATCATTAGAAGCCTAAGGAAGACACTTAGCATGCTTTTGCTCTGAGCCATATTTTAATACTTGAAATTTCGTGTTCCATTAAAATTTTTAAAAATTATTTTATATGCCTGTGTTTTCCGCAGTTTGGATAGAAATTTAAGATATAAGTTAATTTTTGATACTGCCAGAGTTATTTTGAGAAGGAGTTTTAAAGCTAGAAGTATATAAATATGTGTATATGTGCAATCAAGCATAATTTTACCACAGCAAAAGCTCACACCTTGCGATACTTATGTATATGGTACACATACATAGTAACGTATTAGTATATAGTACACATTTTTGAGTATATACAAATACACACATATACCCTACATTATGTACAGTAATTTATTAATGCAGTCACTGATATGCTATGCGTAAAAATATGACACCCCAGAGAATTGAACTTTCCAAAAACAATTTTCACACAATACAACCACGAACAGGTAACGGTATGTGCAAACGCGTGCAACAAAAGGCAGATGCGGTAGATGCGTTTATATTTACCAAGTAATGAGGCACGAAAATTCGATTTGCCTATGCAGACCCTCATCCATAAGGCGACCACTTAGGCGGAATGAAGTCATCTTCGAGAACAAGAAAAACTGCGCACTTAAAAGCAAAGTTTGCCCAAAGGTATGAAAAGTTTCCCAGCATACATGTGGAGGTGAGCAAACAAACAAATAAACCCAAGCAAACAACTAACCAAAGGCAGGAGCTTGGTGAACAGCTACGGCGCAACTGTTGCACGCTGGTTATGGAGATTGAACCATGAATACCCCTATAAATCACTGATGAAAACTTTTCAACCTCAAAACAGGACCAAATAAAATATAAAATAAAGACAAAAACAACAAGCAACAAAGAAAAAACTTCGTTCTAAATTGTGCGGGTTAATACGCTTTGAGGAAAAAGTAAATGTTTAACTTTTTGACACAAAAATTGCGACATGTCATTGGAGCCGCTGGTAAGTGGCGCGACGAAACTTTGACGCTGACACAAGTAACTATCTTAAAAATCTACAAAAACAACTAAAAAAAGACAAAAGTAGAAGTATTAAAATGAAAGTGGAAAATGTAGCAGTGAAAGGAGAGCAAACAAAATAAACAACTGTTAAAGTAAAAAGGAAAAAACTTCGAAAAGATTGTCCCATGAGGGCAATTATTTGCGCAAATAACGTTGCAAGTGCAAGTAAAATACGAATATCTCATTGGCAGTAAATAATTGCGCTTTATTTGTACGCGAATGACTTTCAATGACTTGGTTATTGTATACCCAGCATGCTCATATAACAACAAAACAACGAAATATCTGTATGTGTAACATGTTATAGAGGGTTACATACAAAATTGTAGCATATGCCAAGGCGGTCAAGCGCAACGAACCTACAAAAGATTAGTTGCTCATGAAAGCGAAAGGGTTCAGTTTTACGAAGCGAGTCATTCGGATGACTGCTCAATTGTTAAATTAAATATTTTAATATCCAATTAGATTGAACTGGCTGACCAGGTGTGCTCATTATAGTCAACAAATTGGTGGTATTATTTTGCGAAAAAGTGCTAAACGAGAGTGAAAATGTTCTGGAACTTACTTAGATATGCCAATAACTTATTTTTCATGAGCAAAAGTTTATATTTACTTATAAGCCATGCTACTGAAAATACAGAGTTTCGGGATGAGCTTTAAAAAACTTATATAAAATATAACTTTTAAACGTAAATTTAGATTATCTGGCTTTAAGACTGTCCCTTGTAAATGCAAAAAAGTATTAAAAAGAAGTTTAAAAAAAAAAATGAATTGCCTCGAGCTTTTTGGCATATTAATCAATAATAACAACAATTGGCATGATTAGGCATAATATTTAAGTGAGGTTTAATTTTTAGGGATCATAATAGTTTCTTCGTAAATTTTTGAGTTATTCGAATGAAATTTAAGAGGTTGTTGCATTTTGAGATTCTATAGATAATTTTTCAGAATCGGCCAGATCGAATAACTATATCACATATCTTTCATACAACCAATTATTCAGTTATGTGATTTTCCGATTAGCTACCTTTAAGGCAAAGTTCTTTAGAATGATCCGTAGAACATTCCCGCATACGTGATTTAAAAAAAAAAAAATCGACCCGCTCTAAACTACAGGTACATCTTTTTAAGATATATAACTCATATACCGATTTCCGTGTTTTTTTTTTTAATTGCATCGACGTACCAGTTCATCTGCCCTTAAACTCTTCGGGCTAACTCAAATGTTTAGTATATTAGGTGACGCTAAAATAGCCCGCCTTAAGAGGGTATGTACAATACATATGTGGAATATTATCCCTTATTATTACGCGTCTGTACGTTGTGATAACTAAAATCCAAGTGAACATTATCATCTTAGCCTAGTAATCTTATTGGTAGGTAAGGCTGATCAACAAACAATAGGTGATGATGATGCTTTCAACATGCAATGCATTATTACGATAGCTTAATTAATGTATGAATGAGGGATCGCATTAGTGTAACACTTAGGATAACAATATAATGTTTAATGTTAAATAACTTAACCATTAGTTGTACTAATATAAATGAACTTAACATTAACCTGTGAATACATTAATTACATAAATTTATTGAAATGTTACATGTGGGAGTCACCATATATAAACAAATGTTTAATTCAAAACTCT